CTGGAGGTTTCTTCCTGTTAAAAGGGAGTTTTTCCTCTCCACTGTCGCTACAAGCATGCTTAGTGTGAGGGATTGCATGAGTCGGTGAGTCGGTGCAATCAACTGGTTTTCCTTAGATAGAAAACTGTGAATCAATTTGACTGAATGATCTGGTTGAACTGTAAAGTGCCTTGAGATGACATGTGATGTGAATTGGCGCTATAGAAATAAACTAAATTGAATCAAATTAGATTAAAAAAACAATTGCTGAAGAAAAAAAACATACTGTTTTGTCTTTTTTTGTGTAAAATACTACTACAACCTCTTTATTCATTGTAAGCCAATCATTCCTCACCTCAGTTACTAAATTAGCTCAAAATATGTAAAGCATTTAACATATATGATGTTGCACATATAATATCTTTAGTTTCAGCTTAGTCATTTCATTATAATAATAAAAAGTAGATAGGTAAAGAGCTAAAAAAAAAAGAGTAATCTTTCACCTAGTAAAGTTTAAATAGCTAAGAAATATATTTTAATAGGTTTTCCACTGTTAATGCTGCACTGTGCTTTATGATCTGAAAGGGAATAATAGTTTGAGAGCTCTCCAGAGGAGCTTTGCTGGAAACTCCTTATTTCTGTCTGGATATACATTAGAGGGGGAAATTTATCATGTGTTTTACAGTTGGTGGTGCTGCTACTGCACTGTCAGGACCTTAAGGTATTTATGCTGTAGATTCGGATCTCAGCTGCCTGCATAACTCTTCCCTGCATGGTTCAGAGGAGAAAAGAAGTATGAGATTGCCAACTGTGATTGATGTATGAGTTGTTGGTCATGAGACATTTTTTTTCTAGAGGGAGGAAGCAGCTATTTTCTGAAAACTGAAAAAAAAAATTATTCAAAGCTGAAACGTACTAAAAAATGCATGTGTATACTGATAAATGAATTCTAAGCCTGTAAGTCCACAGGAAAACAATGTAAACAACAAATGTGATCACAGACTGAAAGCTGTATCACCACTGGTCACAGACTGTGGCGGTTCTTGGACAAATGTACCAGGGGGCCAGCATGTTTTCATGGGGGCACAGAAAAGCATGAAACAAAAAAAAACAGGCCAGGGGAGCTGCATGAAGTTAAATTTAATTAAGATATGTCTTCCAACTGATAAATCCTGTAGCTATATATAAATACCTAAGAGATCAAATAAAGCTATTATTTTGAATATTAGGTTAATATACATTCATAATGTAGGAGTTATTTTTAACTTAATCTAAGTTAAAATTACAGTTTTCTATAAAATCAGAAATAAAAAACTGAAAAATTAAGCAGTAAAAATTTGAGTATTTTTTGTTTGTTTGTTTTGAAAAAAAAAAACATTTAGCAGATGAAAACTGGGATCCTATCTTAATACCACTGAAGCTATCACTTTTATGTTTTTAAATAATTAGTAAAACAGAATATTTTTAAGAAAACAATGAAATAGATCCACAGGACCTATCAGTACCCATGTATGTTCCAGTGCATATCATCATTAGAATTTCTTTTAGTATTATATCTTCGGAGCAGGGGCCATAACATGGGCCAGGACATGATCTACAGAGGAACTGGCCCCCGTCGGCCCCTGTCACCCCTGTCTAGAACCGCCCGTGGTCACAGAAGCGGATTTGAAATATGGAGAGTTGTTTCTGAAGCATTAAGGCACACAAGTGGTCCAATGAAGATCATTTGGAGGGGAAGAAATCAGTTATTAATAAATTGTTTGAATAACTGTTGAATGAAAGTTCAACTTTAAGAAAAATTTAATCTGCCAAAAGAAGCCAGTGCGCATGAAATATGAAAGATGAAAACAGTCCACATATGAAATACAAGCTTTTAAATCATCGCAGAATCAGCATGATAGGGCATCAAAGGTTCAGACAAAGTTCAAGAAAACAACTTACGCGCAATTAGAGAAAGGTGAATGAATTACTTTGTATAAGTAGCGCAACGAACAGGTAAAACATTGATTTGATTACCTTCAGGTTCAGACCTCTCCCTGTGCCCTTGGCAGCTCCTCAAGCCCAGCGTTTAGGTCCCTGGCCCCGGTCCATCACAGCAGGAAAAGTCCGCAGAACTAGAGCGCACAGCCAAGAGTGAGAAGAAAAAACAAATAAAAAAAAAAAGAAAAGAAAGATAACTTATTATCTCAGTTTTGTTGTTCTAATCGCGGTTAAAGGTTTTTTCTTTCCTAAATAAATGATCGCTCCTGTTGCTGATCCAGAGTCGACTGTCAGAGCTGCTGTTCTGAGCGCTCACTGTCTGCACCAAGTCACTGAAAGTATGCAAGACAACTTCCGGTGTGAGCTTCAAAGTAACACGCTTAGAATCGATCATGCATAATGTAGAACATATGATTGTTTATGTTTTGGTTGCTGCAATTGAGACCCAAAGCATTAAGGCCTCATTGTGTGTAGATGGAGGTAGCCTAAAAACTACATAGAGATAAACAGGAGAGATGGTCAGCAGAATCTGAGAGATAGTGAATAAATATCTGAAATTAAAAAAATGAATTCATCGCCATGGTACATGGAATAGGATCCTGAACAAAAAAAAAAAAAAAAGATGCAAAGCTGGCAGGATTACAAGGAATTTGAGTCCAACATTATGGCCCTATCACTGAAAAAAATAATAATACAACCGTTTTGAGTATTTACTTAATCATATTTAGTTACTTTAAAACAATTGTTTCATGTCCTACCCTGCTAACATGAAGCACTTCTTTTAAAATAACTACTTGTGATTAAGTAAATGCAAAAAAAAACGTTTGTTTACATGATGTGCTCGCAGTAATCATACACCTGTATAAAAGCTGCATTGCTTACATGTGATAAAGTAGGCTTAATCATTTAATGGAGAAAATAAAAGCACGAGATTGGAAGGAAGTTAGAAAAATTATTCAAAACAAAACATTATAGTTGTTTAACATCTTTGAAATACAAATAAGATATTTATGATATCCAAAGCATACATTCTATGCTGATGTAACACAAAGTATTGATTCCAGTAGCCTATTAATGGGGTGAATTTATTCAGCCTAAAGGCGTCATTTTCCTTTGTTTTCAATCTATTTATATAAATCGATCTAAAATCTCAACACTTGTCATTTTCTGAGGATCACATTTTTTTTTAACAGGGAAGACTTGATCTTCAGGAAGAAACCTGTAATGAAAGCTGCTAAATGTTTATATCAGCTTTCGTTTATCTCTTTATTGTGAAATTCAGCTTCTAGTAATTTTCCTAAAAAACGTGAGCTTCACATAACTCTGAGCTTGATCCTAAATGAATATAAATTAATTATTTTGTTCTCCTTTCCCACCAATGTGTCATGCTTTCAACTGTCTAAGGGAATTTTAGCAACTGACCACTGCATAGGCTTATATTTCATGTGTTTCCTTGACTGATGGTACTAAAAACAAATAGCCCGATAGTGATGTAAAACACAGGCTATAAGGTCCATATGATGATGAAAAAAGAAGAAGGGAATGTGGGTGGGGGTCGCCTTTGAAATGCTTTTTCCTAGGTGGGTGAAAGCTACAATCATCAAGGTGCAAAAGAAGTCAGTACAACTAACTACTACAAGTAAAAGCAACAGCATGGCACATATAATTTCCTACAAGCTCAACACAGTGTGGCAAGATATTTTCTGAAAACTACTGGCAGTATTAAGCTAGCAGCAGCTTGTGCAGCCATTGAGGAGGGTAACAGATGTTAGCCATATGGAAGACCAAGAGAGTCACCAGTCAAACTCTAATCTTGTTGGAGGATTTATGCAGACTGTTTGGTATGTTCATCTTTTAGAAGGATGCAACATACTACTACTACTACTACTACATAATACTACCAAAGAAGTCAAAAGCATTTCAAATATAAAACATATTCTTAGTTAGTCTGCAGATATTTGTGAAAAAATGACTGAATAAAAAAGGCATGTTTAAAGGAATACAATGTCTTTAAGCTGGATGAAAAGACCTTTATTTTGGAATTTTTAGTGTGTTTTTTTTTTCATTGTTCCAAGAAGGTATTGTTTTGATCAACGATTTCTTATCTCCATTTGTGCTTTTGAAATCAAGTCACAATTAAATGTTTTGAGAGTTTGGAATAGCGGGAAGCATGTTATGGAGTTATGACAAAAAAAAAAAAAAAAACATAAGAACGTGGGGGATAAACTAAAAAATCTTATAGCTAACGTAATCACCGGCATAGAATGTCAGTGATGGAGCTAAAGGTTATCGCTCTGTCAGATTATCAACACGTCAAGCTTTGATCAGCATCAAAAAGAAAGACTAGCACAGATTGTGGAGTCGGCACCTTATGACTCTGATCAGGGAGAATGCCATCCAAAGTCTTGATTCACTACAAGTGGTTGTTATTGTGTAGGATGGGAACAAACCTATATTTCAGTATTTTACAGCTGGATTGTATGGAAAAAAGGCAATATCAGTGTTTAAAATCAAGGATTTCTCAGAATGTTTATTTTATTTTATGTAAAACAGTTAGATGCTACAAAAACAGAGAAAAGAATGTATGTAAAGTAGATATATACATTGTACCATATTATATTTCTCACCAGTCCCTTGTCAGCATCATATTGCCCATAATAAAAACCATTCAGTAGTAGGCTTGCAGCACTGGTAATAGATGAAAAACTTGGTATCTACGACACCAAATAAAGGACCTTTGCACTTGTTTTGGTTGTAAATATGATAAAAGGTGAGTATTAAGTGGATTTAACAGTAATATTGGCTACAGAGTAACACAAAAAAGGGTTTTTGTTGCTGGAACATGCAAAGTGCTAAAGGAAGAATAACTTCATTAGATGAGGACAGGGAAGTCTTCTTGGTCATAAAGCCTTTAAAGGGTGCCATGAAACAGTGTTCCAGATCTATCTATATTTAGCTGCTGTATTCATTCTGCCAAAAGAAGTGAAAATGTTTGTCAAATAAAGTTGTAAGTCACCTGAGTGGCATACAAATTACACTTAACTATTATAACTTTACTACATGATAATTAAGGTTTCACCATAAAAAAATGTCCAAACAAATTCCTCGTGTCGTGGAGCAGTGTCAAGTTAAGCAATAGGGCTGTTTTACTAATGAGCCATTGTACTAGCTGAGGCATGACAGCAATGTAAGGGCAATGTAACAAAAAAACCCACATGCTGATAAAGCAGCATGAGGGATCTGATACAGGACACCCTGACCAACATCGACTGGTTCTTATCTCTGTTAATTAGCCATGTGACTTAAAAGTAAAAGGACATATCTGTTTGGGAATTTAGTCTGTCAAGCTTAAAATGATTGAAAGTAGATAAGAGTTTTGGTTTTATTGTTTGCCACTAAGATCTCTGTAAATATCAAAATACAGAAATGTTTACAGGACAAGTTTACTTTAAACGCTGTGATACATTTGCCTTTAAGCACTGCATCAGATTTGCTGAATAAACATATATATTCTTTTTTACTTCAAGTATTCAGAAGCGTCTAGAACTTTAACCAATATGTTTGCAAAGGGAGGTGTAAAAGTTCCAAGAAGGTAACCTGTATGTTTTGAAAGGTACCCAATACTTTTAGTTTTGTTTCTAAAGGGACAGTTTCTAGAGCATATAATTTGGAGCCTATCTGATGTGAGGATGAATCTTTTCTCTTTTCCAAACATAAATGTGCTCATCCAGAAAGGGAATAAAATATCCAAAAAGTTGCACATTTGTTTATGTGTGTTAAAATCACTTGGCAAGTTCAGAAAGAGCTATCTAGAGCTACAAACAGACATGTAGCGTTTTCATGATGAACTCCCTCAGGCACATTACAGCTCTATAATAACTAATGTTACTGGAATAACAGCAGATTAGAATTTCTCATGGATGTTAAAACAGAAATGAAGGCAAATAAGAATGAAGATCAGAAGCATGGCCCAGAAAAAGAAAGTATCAACTGAGGCATCTGGTTTGAGGGTTGTTTATAATTTTTTTTTTTTACTTTCCTTTTGTTTTCTGTCAAATGCCAGGTTTTGGAAAAGAAAATTTGTCAATGACTACAGTGATTCAGATCTCTTTATTGACAATTAATAGAATCTTGAAATAAAAACAAAGCTCTGTCCCTGATCCTACAACAATATGCTTAGACTGCTAATGCAGTAAAACCTTGAGCTGAATGAATGTCTAAGACTGTCGCCAAGGCCAAAGCTTTTGAACATGAAAAAAAAAAAACTTTTAAATGCTGTCAGATTCAGTAAAAGTGTTTTTTCTTTCTTTTGTTCTAAAGTCTGGCTCAGCATTCTCTAGTTAGATCTTATTTCTCGTTAGAGGTAAACTAGTTTCAGTTTTTAACATTTTTGATATTCTTCTACCTGCCTCCACTTTCTAGTGTTGCAGGTCCTCATAAAAGATCCAGTTTAATATATGCATGGCACTCCTCCAGCTTAATACAGCAGCGTTTATACAGATATCATCTGTATGAATCCACATGCTAAAACTGATAAATGTTAGAGGGTTGTTAGATTTGTTTCTTAAAGTATTTTGATAACAGTAGTGAAAAACTCCTTTTTAAAAATTTCCTAGAAATTACCAGTGGGTATGAGAGAGGCATTACAGAGTTTTCTAATGATACTGCTACCTGTGGCCTAAATAAAGAACGGCAGCTCCTTCTCATAGCTCATGCTCATATTTCAAGCAGTGGCGTCTGGCCAATATTCACATAAGTGAAATCGCTTAAAGCAAACTTACCAAGAGAAGCTGGAGGTAAAAGGGTTTGGACCTGATCAGCCGGACATCAAAATTAATCAGTAGTCTAAAGACAGATGGAGAAGATACAATCTGTCTTGTTCCAGGACGTGAATTAGCTACAAGGCTTAGCTAACTGCATGCAGTGAGGCTAATGCTTTATTCTGCTTTCCCTGCCTCCTTTTTCAAACATCAGGATCTGACCCAGCATGGATAAAGACAGTTAGGACTTGTCAAGATTTGGTTGTGGTTGGAGGACCCAAATGCAGAGGCAGGGAGGCAGATGTGAGTTTCTTGTGAATTTAATGAAGTGTTAACAAACAACTGAGACAGGAATTAAAAAAAATCCAAAAATCAAACATGAAAAAGGTCAAACAAACCAGAAACCAAGGAGACTTCAGGGGGAGACAATCACGATGAGGTAAACACAGTGAGACAGAGTTGGAGGAAGTTAGATGAGAAACCAGCACTGA